TCTTAATTTTCTTTTATATGCGAGCAATACATACCAGTAAAAATTGATTTTTTCAGGACAATTTGATGAAAACCACAACAAATATGCATTATATAAACTTGAATATTTATAGATCAAAAAAACAATCAACAAGTTAATTTACTCTTACGTCCAGACCCAGTCATTTTATGAATTAAATAATGCATCCTCGTGTATTTTTGTTCCTCGTTTATTTCCGGATTAAACAAACGTCGCTGTTTAAGTCAGATTAACCCTTCTTTGAACGGTGAAACCATGTTTCATTGAAATGAAATTTTAGCTTGGAAAATGAAATAATAATTGAACACTATTTGTCATTTCGCTTCAAATTCACGTTATATTACTTTTCCTTCCTTCGAAGAAATTGTCATAAAATCAATCGTGATGGTGTATGTCGTCAACAATTTTTTTTTCTTTCTTCGAAATCCAGTTCTTTTAATGGAAATATAATTTGTTGAACGTTGTATTATTTTTAAGAATTACCAAAAACTTCTGTGATAAGATACATAAATTAAGCAACAATATTAACAATTGCAGAAAATACAACTATCTTGTCAGTTACGGATCGACAGGGTAACGTAAAACTACAAAAATGCAATAACCAAACTGCACAAGAAAAACATTAAAATACGAATACCTTGTCGTGTGTTCTTTATTTTAGAATTGTTATTTGTTGTCAAGTCGAATGTCGGGGATCCATTTGCGCGGTGTCCAGTCCACGCTTTCCCCACCACGTCTATTTGCCTCCGCCCTCCTAAATCAGTAGCAGTCTCGCTATCTGTAAACACCCTCGCTTTTCTTATTTGCACGTTGAATTCCTTGTAATAAACTTCAAGCAGAAATTCCACGAAGGAAAACATTATTATTATTATTATTATATTTTATTTATTATTATTATTATTTTATTATTATATTTATATTATTTATTTTTATTATTATTATTTTATTATTATTATTATTATTCTTATTATTATTATTATTTTTATTATTATTATTATTTTATTATATATTATTATTTATTTATTATTATTATTTTTTATTATGTATTATTTAATTATTTTTTATTATTATTATTATTATTATTTTATTATTGCTTTTTCCCCCCTGTTACTTCAAACACAAAGCCAATTCTACGCGCAAGAAAGAAATAATGGAAGAAACAAAAGATGAATTCCTGCAAACTAGTGTCGGACAGTCTCAAATGAGGAAGAGGTGAAATACTTAAAGTGATAATCCCAAACTGATCATGTTCGCGTGGTGAAGGACTATCTCCCAATTTGTTGATGACTGACGAATTCTGAATCGCTAATTGTGAAATATTAATTATGAAATACTGATAGCAACTCGTACGAGACTGGACAGGCGGGGAGGGGCGCGATTGTTGTCTCTAATTGGTCTTTAGCGTTGTCTGTAACCGATTGCTTAACTGGCTGCCGTGAAGTTCACGGAGGTTAAAGAATTAGACGACTCTTATCCTGGTTAGGTCAACTGCTAGAAACTCTGGGTCTAAGCAGCACCGAGACCCTGCGAAGGATAAAAAGCGCGATGGACTGACTACGGCCGGCGAGGTTACAGGAGGATTACTCCCACCGTTCGAAAGCAATCCGAATTGTTCAGAGAGATTTAGTTTTCGGAAAACGTAACCGAAATTTAATAAAATAAGTCTCGAAAAGGCCGAGCTAAAAAATTCCATTGGAAGAGCGGAAATGTAGCTCAGCCCGTCTTGTTGCAGCTTGTGTGGCCGTGCGTCCGCAAGGCACGCAAAACAGAATGCGCACGGGAGCGCTGCGTCAGGTAGCAGAAGCCAACAATGCATTCAGCACGGACTCTAAGCAATGTGAGTATAGACTATGAATTGCCTGTATTTTACGTGGCGAGACTCGGGCCATCAGGCCCGCTCTTCCCGTCTACAACGCAGATTCGATACACCAGTTCATCAACTAGAGAGAACGGAGCTGAATTTCTTGGCGAGAAAACAGGCGATTTGAATTTAGGCTCAGAGGCGTCATTTAGGCTTGAGGGATCTTTTACATGCAAGTAAGTTGACTAACATGGGACACAGCCGGCTTCTTACTTCCCTCCGAAGGAAGGGCGTCAAGGCATTTTTCGCCCTTAAAAATCCACGGCTTCGTTCGGGTTTGAAAACCGGGTACCGGGATCCGGTACAAGCAGTCCGGTTAACGCTAGACCCGTTCGCAACCATCCCCGTCGGCCGCAACTATTTAGCTATGCATTTAATTTTGAATCTTTTAATGGCAGTATTAATTTTTAATTATTTTTTTATTATTTTTATTATTTTATTAACCATATTTACCATAGTTTTTTTTAAATTGTTTACATGAAAAAATATGTTGCAAGATTTTCTTTTAGAGGCCAGGGGAATCCATTCTTGCTCTCCTCTTACTCGAGTGTATATGAATAAAAGAGCCACCAAGCGTTGTTTAAAGAAAATTGATTTCTTTTTTGTGTTTATAGAAACACTTGTTTTGCATTAGAAGACGAGACAGGACTCATCTCATCCTTTACGTTGGTGCGTCATGTGGTTGGTTTAACTTGGCTTTAGTTCATAAAGAGGCGTTAGTCAGAACTCCAACGGGCATTCCTCCTTATTTTAGTTCGGTCACTGTCATTACCATCTCTCTCTGATTAAATAATGCATCCTCGTGTATTTTTTGTTCCTCGTTTATTTCCGGATTAAACAAACGTCGCTGTTTAAGTCAGATTTAACCCTTCTTTGAAACGGTGAAACCATGTTTCATTGAAATGAAATTTTAGCTTGGAAAATGAAATAATAATTGAACATATTTGTCATTTCGCTTCAAATTCACGTTATATTACTTTTCCTTCCTTCGGAAGAAATTGTCATAAAATCAATCGTATGGTGTATGTCGTCAACAATTTTTT